GTTTTGGCTTCGTGGGCAAATCATCTCGTATATTTTCTACATTATAACTCAATTATGTTTTGTACTTGCTCTTGGTTACTCGAATTGCATTTCATGAACGCAGAATAATTTGCGAACGCATAAATCACTGATTTCAAACTTTTTACATTTCGTAAATATTGATAGTGATCAATCTGTTTGTATTTCAAAAAATTGTAACATGTTCCAATTAAATTAAATTAAAAAGAGAATAGTAAATAACTTAGTGTGTATTGCAGTTCATGTCATAAATGCGGGAATTCTGTATGTAAATGATCTGCAAATTGATATGCAAATTTATGCTAATTAGGCCGCCCACCAGCTAATTTGGATTGTGGAGAACACTGCCAACAAAGTGGAACCTTTTGTACAAGTGAAGCCACACACACGAGGACTCACATAATTTATATTAATATTTAATCGAATTTAAGTCAAGTTTGCAATGCTTAGGCTTAGTAAAGGGGGAAGGTATGGTTTAATTTATATTAATATTACTAAACCTAAGCTTCGCAAACATTTCTATGTTCAGTCACGAGATAGTCAACTTTTGTTTAATTAAACTTAATTAAAACACAATTCTACGTTGTATTGCATTTTAATTGAGTTTTATTTTACTCCAATCAAAACACAACCCTATATAGGAACGCATTTTAATAGAGATCATATCGCAACTATATTAAAAGTTAATTCAACTATACTGTAAAGGGGGTAATTGTTCACTGGGTTTTAATTTAGCTTATTTCGCTGACTGGAAAAATGCGCTAAATTAAAACACAGTGAATATGTAACATTTAGCATAGAACACATTATCTAAATGACAAAACCGTGAATTTAAAACCCACTGAATATGCCTGAAATGGTAAATCAGTGAAATTTAAACCCAGTGAAAATTAGTCATTTTACAGTATTAAAAGTTCATCCAATGTGTGTTGTCACAACGATGGTACAATGTGAAGGTATGTGTGTGTGTGTGTCTGTCTGTCTGTGTGTCTGTCTGTCTGTCTGTCTGCCTGCCTTAACTTCTAATCTTGCAATCAGCTTTGCCTTTTCATACTAAATTATAATTTTTAAAACAAGTATCACTGTCACTAATATTTTTTTTTTTTTAAGATTCTTTATATACCGTATTTATCCGGGTATAAGCCCAGGGTCTTGAACATGGAAAATTGCCAAAAAGAAGGGGTGGGCGTTTGCCAGGAGATCCCCGGCAAAAAAAACGAAAATTCGCGAAAATCGGCAACACACAGTTCGATCGAACTGCGGCAGGGAATAGAACGGCAAATGAAAACATGCAACGGAAATAAATGAACAATATGCAACATTAGAAGTAGGACAAAAATAATGTATTGCTTATAATGTGGCAAAAAACCAGAAATAATAAAAATCGACAGTGAGGAATCATTTGAATTAGGATTTTCCCGCCGACAAACACGTGTGAACTCAAAATTAATTAAAATGTCAGGGGTTAAACTGCGTAAAATGATTTCCGGTCTCGACAAATTACGCATCAACCGTCATACAAGATCAATAATAATTTACAAATTTACACAGTAAAAATTATAAAAATTCATAGCTGTTTGAAAAAAATTTCTCAGATCTTTATTTGTACGTTCATT